TACAATACTATGTCTTTGATGATAAAATACTATGTCTTTGATGATAATATATTATGTCTTTGTGCTAGAACATTGTGTTCATTGGCGAGCGAGCGCAGCGAGCCATGGTTCACGGCGTGAACCACATAGGATTGCGTAGCAATTATCGGGGGTTGGCGAGCGTTAGCGAGTATATATTTAATTTGGTGTATTAACCTAGGAATTTAAATTCAGTTTCTATGAAATGGGCGGCCCGGCACCAATTGATCCACGGACCGGTACCGGTTGGGGAACACTGTCCTAAGTCACTACGGCTAACGCAAAGAAATAAAATCCATGCCAACCTTTGATAAAAACCTATCAGTTGATGTACTACCCGTTCCAATTAACGATTTTTATATACTACAAAATTGATGTTTAATAACTGTAGTGGTAGTTACACCACAAATCAAATAAATAATTAAATACTTTGAAAATTCTTTGAGAAAGCAAAATGTGCAGAAATTGACATTATGGAAATATCTTAACTTTCAGTCATTCTCATGTCTTAACTATTGGACACGGTAACTTCCATTATCCCCTACCCCTTACCCATGCTTTGTGCGCCAAGAATTCCAAAAAAATGTACGCTAATTCAGAAAGTTTTTGTTTCATAGTCAATAACATCTGCACAAATTATTTAGTATATTTAAGGTTTAGCGTTCGAGCCATTAATATTAAAAGACGAAAATCTAATCATTAGATCAAAAGTTACTTAGATGCTCTCATTTTGTGCACTGTACTATTACTCTTAATACTATAATCCACTTTTCACATAATTGAATGAAGGCTTGTGTTAACTCTTTGACGCAGATGGGGCATGCGTCCCTTTTACTTATATTTTTTCTGGCTCTCAAATTACTATAAAAAATATATTTTGGTACTTTTTAAGTACCAAAAAAAAAAAAAAAAAAAAAAAAANAAAAAAAAAAAAAAAAACAGTTCATAGTTACTAAAAGAATCAGTTAGATTATCGGAATTATATTTGTACTAAAATACAAAAAAAATAGTATGAATTTTTTGAAAAAAATTCACATTAAGAAATTAATCAATAAATGATTTCGTGAATTAAAGGAAATTATAAATAACTGTTTCTCTCAGATCTAAATAACTGCAAATAAGAAATATTGTTCGGAAGATTTTACCTTTGACGCAGAAAAAGATACTGGTGTTTTATGCTGCATTTCATAAACACAAATTATTAAAATATAATATTTTTTACTTACTTTGATCTAAATTAATGCAAGATAATGAAAAAAGCATGAAAAAGTATGTTTAATAAAAATTCTGAGTCTGAGGGTTATTCGTATAAAGTTAGCCATAATGCATTTATTTGGGACAAATTGGAACACCCCAGTTACATAGCTGCCGAGTTTTTGTGCCATATTTGTGTGGCATATTTTTACGCTTTTGGAGGCATATTTTTTCTAAATGAGGTAATCACCATTTTTAGATAATCTTGATATCTGAACTAGTTCACTCGTCGTGTTAGTCAGAAGCATTTTTATTTTATTCTATAATAGTCGTTAAACAATCAACCCATTTTTGAACTTACGACTACCTATATTTAACTCAGTAGCCTTGTAATTTCGAGCCCAATCCAGAACACAAGAGAACTGATGTACAGTACAGAACCCGTTATCCGGAATTCAGAAAACCGGAAAACCAAAAAACCGGAACGAAATTCGATAAATTTTCCCGCAATTTTTAAAAAAAAATTATTTTTTTTCCTCATAAGATTTTAGGATTTTTCTTTCTTTTTTGGATTTTAAATTTTAGTACAAATTTAATATACAGTACAGAACTCGTTATCCGGAAATCAGAAAACCGGAAAACCAAAAAACCGGAACGAAATTCGATAAATTTTCCCGCAATTTTTAAAAAAAA